TTCTGTAACAATAGAAAGTCATTTAGCCATGTTGGTATAGAATTTTAAAAGGTATTTTCTTGCTAACGACAAATTGGTAGCAAGTTACAAGTGGGTTAGGGATCAATTATGGAACTACTCCCGAAGGTCTCTTAACTGCAAAAGAAAAAATCTTCATACACTTTAATGCAAGTAGCGAAATCAAGAGAGAATTTAGTAATAAATCTCTCTTTGAATTTTGGGCGGCAGTAAATGATGACTTTTCTCCACTGAAAACAAGAGCATTTCGTATATTATTGCCATTTTCCATATCCTACCTTTGCGAAGCCGGATTTTTGGCGGTGGCTGCTTTAAGACAGAATATGGATCTCGATTGAATATAGATAAAGAGCTGAGAGGGGCTATTTGTAATATACAATGTTTTTTTTTTTGAAAACCTTTGCTGTGCGAGAGTTTATTATTAGTTTCATTTAGCATTTTGCAGTACCTAGTAGTTTAAACGTGTAATGTACTTACTTAATTTTTTGTAATGTCAGAATGAATACCATCAAACGGGGTGACTAAGGATGGAATTGACATTGTATTATAAATAATTCCCCTTAGTATCAATCTATATGAAAATTACATATTACATATTACATATTTTCGCAACACGTTCACACGATAGCAGAAAAAATTTGAATTATAAATATTTTTTTTTTAATTCAAAAAGTGTCCTGATTCACCCCGTCTGTGGGGTTACTCAGGACATGCGTTTATTTTGCAGTGAAAACATTATCTCACCTACTCTGGTTGAGATGGGACAAAAATCACATTTTAAAAAATGCATTTATCTACTTATTATCATTGAAAATTTTAGAAAATGATGAAAACATATCTGAAGAATAATTTTTATTGAGATCAAAAGCAGTAAAAACAATTTTTTCGATATAAACTTATGGTCTACCCAGTTTTTAAATTTTTTATCAATTTTTCATATTCAGATAACATGGAAATTTGACACCCTCTCTCCGAAGTTGCACTGGTTGTGAAAGTTTCTTAAGAATTTGAAAGATATCCACAACACATTCATCAGGGACTTGTGGAAAAATGAAGGTATTTTCCACTTTAGAGCTTTCTCTTAAAATAGTAATACACAGTTGTCCATCATTGTTTCCTAAGATTTTACCTACAAAATTTCTAGAAAACTTTCCCTCTATAAATTTTGCAATGACAAAGTCTGGTTTTTCTCCGTCACTTTCTACATTTGTTGAATTTCTTGCTTCTTTCTCTGGTGTCGTTTATATTTTCTTCGGAACTTTCGCTGCCATCAGATTCCGAATCATTTTCGGGCTCAGAATCAAATATTATTGATTGGCACAGCACACTTTTACCAGGTGTTACGGGAATTTTCTTTCCCTTTGCCTTCTTTGCGGAGGTTTGTGGGTTTCGCTGGGTTTTCAGAAAACCAGTCAGTGTTTTAGTCCAAGTCTTCCGAGATTTTTCTTCGTTGACAATTTCTGGAGGTAAACGCTTCAAAACTTGTTCTCTGTCAAGTGGAATAATGCCACAACCACGAAAACCAGCCTTAATGTTATCTTCCAATTTGTCTGAAATATTTAACAAAGCTTTTCTCAATATTTCTGGAAATTCTGGTTTTGGGATAACTCCTCTATTTTTCTTCTTCTACTCGCCCAGAGTTTTTCTCCACGATTGCTTAACAGGCTTGAAAAATGCAGTGTCAAGCGGTTGTGTGAGATGCGTGCTGTTTGGAGGAACTAAAACGAATCTGATGTTATTTTTTTGACATTCCATGATGACATTTTGGGAGACATGGCTTGCGAAATTGTCACCAATAACAACCTTTGGCCCTTGAAGTCTTCTGAAGTAAGCTAATGCTATTGTTAAAAACCATTCTTCAAATTGATTCGAATCGAACCATTCACTCTTAGTATTTCCATATCTAGTGCCCTGTAGCCCATCTTTCACCCAGTTTTGATAAGGATGCTCTGATTTGAATACTACATTTGGGGGTAACATTTCATCAGATCCGCATCTGCATGTTTGCCTACGAATTACGACTCGCTGACGGCTAGGGTCATCAGTAAAATTTGTCTCGTCGTAATTAACGATATGCGAAGGAGGAACATTTTCTAAAGATGTGTTCAATTCATCAAAATATGAATAGATTGATTGTCTATCAACTGCAGCCCTTGCTCGTTTTATATTCTCCGAAACTCTCAGTGCTAAATTATTTTTGTGGCGAATTAGAAAAGATTTCATCCAGTCCGGCCCTGGCAAGTTATTGGTAAATCTTCTGATGCTTACACCCCTTTTATCATAATACTGTTTCACCAAAATACGCACGTCCATTGGTTCTAATGGGAATAACCAATCGGCAAGACACGTCAAAGAACTAACAATTTTGTTTTCTTCAACGTTCGTTATGTCTAATTGTCCACCAGGTTTTTTCACATTCCTATTTTTCACATGCTGATTTATTGTATTTTTAGGTATTCCGTATTTAATCTCCAGATTTCTATAGCTGGTTCCTTCCTCCAGCCTTTCTTGAACAGCTTTCTGCAGATTTTTGCTTTCATAATTCTGATATGGCCTAGAACCAAGCCTCTTGATATATTTTTGGGGCATGTCCCGAGTCACCCTGAAAAGAACATGAGATTAGATTTCCAACGATAAAAAAAATAAATTTAGCAGCATAAAAAAATCTTAAGACAACATTGAGAACGTGTCAACTGAGCGAACAAAACAAATTTCATAGCAAATATCACTTACCTTCCAATAGTTTAACACCACAATTTATCGACTAACGAAAACACCCGTTTTTCTGCCGCTCTAATGTCTAATTTTTTTCTCGAGAACGAAATGTTTTGCAGCTGTGGCGAATGAGACACAACACGACTCCCTGACCAAATTCCGGTGCCGGCCCAGCGCATGTGTCCTCGCTACAATTTTTTTCAGAAATGGCGTACACTTGTACCAAGTCAACCGGCTTTCCCGAGTCACCCCGTTTGACGGTATCATTTTGCTTTTCTTTCTATGAATTAATTTTTTTTTATTAGTAACAATAATCATGTTTTTTTTTTCATTTTGATGTGCTGGCGCCCCCCACCTAGAGTTATGGCGCCCCCAGGGGGCGCGCTTCACAAGTTGAGAAACGCTGATATAAACTGTAAATGTGACAGGTTTGTCTCCTGGTGCAATGAGTGTTAATGCGTTTACTTTACCCTGAAATAATAATTTTTTCTATGCTTTTCCCCCATTTTCGGTAATTTCAAGCATTAGGTATATTCGTAGTATCTACCAAATTGGTCTGACTAATCTGAGTGCTCATTATTTGAAAGATGTTGGTTAGAAAGCAAATATCGTTTTCTTTTTTTAAGAGTTTATATATCAATAGTTGCAGAATTGAGGCCATTGAAATTTCTCAAAGTATTAGTAGGTGGATCAAGTATTGCAAATTAGTAGTATCGATACTAAATTTTCAACATATAGTATGTGACATACGTCTAACCTATGCTGCCCTAATAGAAAATGTTGATGTACAAACTATAAGAGAAAAGCTGCAGGATGGAATCAGAGATCTACGGTTTACGATAAACGATGAGTGCATAAAAAAAAGTAATCATGTAGGACAACAGCGAAAAATAATTAATGATTGATCGACTTAAATGGCTTCCTTACCAGATCTAAATTATTTGAGATATTGTTCGTTATGATTATTTCCCTTCCACCACTCGTTCTAAAAGCTTTTAGGCTACTAGGCTTCATCAAGAGGAACACCAAACACATTCAGGACTCTCGAGCAATTTTGTGCCTATTTATCTTGGTGCGCAGTTATCTTGAATACTGTTCTATAATATGGTCACCATCTTATACCACACACAGTAATAGACTTGAAAATGTACAGAGCAAATTTTTCTTTTCAAACTCCACTTTCCATCCTAGGGAAGTGCTTACGAAACAAGAATATTACTGTGTGGGGTTCAAAGTTTGGAACGAAGACGACAAAAGGCAGGACTGTTCTTTCTACACAAGTAACTTAATGGTCAGGTGGATTGTGAAGATTTGCTAAAATTAGTCCGTTTTTCTGTTCCTTCAAGACAAACACGTCACTTAACCTTATTTCATGTGAGGACTCATAGGGCTAATTACGGCAAACATTCATTTATCGACAGGTTATTAGGCAACTATAATAATAATTTTTCAAATTACGATATTTTTCATGTTATTGCAAACTATTAAAAATAACATTAGACTACATATCTCTTCTCTATCTAAATTTCATTGTTTTTTCGTATTTTAAAAATGTTTTATTTGTATTCTATTGTATTTATGTTTTTAAATCTATTTTTAATCATTTGATGCAATTATGTTTCCCATTGTATTTTTATGTTTCTAAATCAATTTTTAATCCTTTTTTTAAATATTTTCATGCAATTTATTCTATTATATATATTTTTTATATCTTTGTCTATATTATCTTTTCCTCTTTCCTTGTACCAATAAGATTATGTATGTAGTGTACTGCAATAAATCAATAAATTAAAAAAGCTATCACAGTGCGATCTAAGTTTTTCAATCAAAGCAATAATTAATATCAACAGTTGCCTGAGGTATCAGTCATACATAGATACAGTGTTTTGATGATTTCTGTAATTTGTGCGAGTTGGTATGAAGAAATGCATATAAAGGGTTAATAATAATTACGAAAAACGGCTTAAATAATTTAGATTCATCTTCATTACCAGGTAAGTCGATCAGTCTATTAATTTTTAAATTTTAGAGAATAGCACAGCTACGAAACGAATTTAGTAAAAAAATCAAGGTTAACGTATGTTTCCAGAAAAAACAGATCAGTATCTACAAAAGTAAATAATTTTAAAATTTACTTACATATATGGTCCTGAAATGGCTGAACTTATCACAAAGTTACTTTCTAGTACTCCTAGAGCACTTGGTTCAAACACAATTGTAAAATTTGCAGTTTCACCTGGTGAAATGGTTTTTGCATATTTTTCAGCCCAGAATTCTGCGTCATCAAACTAAAAATAATGGAAGGTTTTTAATTTTTTTTTCTATAAAAACTAAACCAATTATTGAAAAAACGGGACTACAGTAATCCGGTTATAACCTTTATCTATGTAGATATTTTTTTAAACTAAAAGTATATGGTTATATTTTATGAAAGTAGATAGAGACAATTGCCAGTTTTTGGAGAATGACATCTATGACAGTATTTAATAACCATAATTAAAGAGCTTTATTAAGTCCTACAAATATACATCATTAAAGCCATTAATAACAGTTAGTAAATAATAGGTACTTTTTATCTTTATCTTTGTCGGATATAATCAGGTAGGGTTAGGTTCGGCCCAGAACACTGCGGCCTTTTGGGTCTATTGTATTTCCCTACTTTTTCCGTATTCAGGTACTATCTTTGGAATAGTCCTGTGTCTTTGGTTAGTTTTAATAAATTCCCTACCGCAAGTGTTCCTGGGGAATAGGTACTTACGAACTAAATGCTTTTAAGCTATTAAATATCTATAATTAGGCTGTTTAATGACTGTTTAAGTATTTAGTTCCTTTTAATTATTAAAACTGTATAATACCTGTTACCAAATTAATTTACTGATGATAAGTTTTTTATTAGTTTGCTTCTTATAGGATCCAAGAACAAAAGTTTAATAAGTTCTATTAATCAGTTTAGCTGTCTCATATAGGTAGTATTAAATTAATAAACGGTATTAAATTTTTAATACCCACTAGCAAAGTTTTTTTGGGTATACAGTAAAGGGCCTATCGTTTCTCTCCAGGTCCCAATATATTACCCGGTTCTGTCCCAGCCAATCTTGTTTCTGTCAATTTTAGCCCTTCTTTGCAATTTACTTAAATGTGTTAACAATGAATTACATTGCTAACTATCAGAATCGATAGGTAGATAAAAAGTTTCAATGGAAGTTAGAATAATGCATGAAAATAAAAAATATATATAGTGAAAAATATTATCAAAAAAGAAGGAATTCTAAATTTTGATATTAACCTTAAGAGAAATATCCATGAGAGCAGAAAAAGTATTTTTAATCTCTGCCGTTGCATATTCTCTGCTTCCAAGTTCTACAACGTATTTCAAGATTTTCTCAATATCCGGTAAATTTGCCGTTAGATAAAGAATGTACGTAAATACTCCAAGCTCTTCGGATTTTGCTTCGAGGGTGGTAACAAATTCTCCATTTTTTACTGGATAATACAAAACTTCTAATTCTTGCTAAAATTATAATAAATCTTTAAACCCTCATGTACTGACCTTATACTAACCAACTGCGAATTACGAGTACAGACTCTTCAACAATACCCGTATCCCACGTGTCTAATAGTCTAAGAGCTAGGGCCACTAGTGTTGAACACAAGGCTAAAAATTTATAGATAAGATTTATAATTTAAACCTTTTCAGACATGAATTTAAAAAAAAAATATTTTTTCCAAGTTTTGATCATTGATAATAATATTTGTTTAAAGTTTCTCCAAGTATCTGTCAAAATTGACATTTTGTAGTTACGTCATATGTGACGTGTGACTGAGAGACGTATATAAATACGAAAAAATTTTCTTTATAGAACAGTGTGACAAAAACCTGTATATCTAAATCGAGTTAGTTATACAATTTATAACTCAAGAACGACTAGAACGATTTTACTGATCTCTTGTTTATTGGATTCTTCTTCACCCTGAAGAGAAGAATAACTTTTAAAATTTCGGAAAAATTAACGAAAAAAAATATACAGAAATTTAATTTTTAAATAAATTAGCTTTGGAACTCCGTCATCTTCCGCAATTGACAGCTCACATTACGCACGCTTACAGCTTTTCTAGAAAAAAATTAAAATATATAGAAAATACTTGAAAATAAGTGTAAAAAAATATAGAGAAGAAATGGCAATAACTGTCAAATCGATTGGTCTCAATCATTCTAGATCATTCGGCCAATCAGTCATTCGTACGGACAATGTCGAGTTGTCTCCCGTCTTAAAAAGTTTTATGCCTAATTGTTTCCTCTTTTTAAATATATGTATTTTTCACTTTAGTCGTCGGTTCAGGTGAATTCCTAGGTATTTTGAATTTTCTTTTTGTTGCAAAAGCTGTTCATTTAACGCCACAGTTGGACATGTTCCTTCTCGTTGAGTATAGGTAACATGGATTGATTTTGTTTCATTCACCTTGATTCGCCAAGTTTTTAACCACGCGGAAATATCGTTCCGGTTGGTTGAGGATTTGGGAAGAAATAACAGGATCTTAATAGGATGTTAGGACAGCAGTGTCATCTGTATATCTGTTATTTGTTAAAGACTAGCAGTGCAAATGTCCGTAAATGTACTATTTACGTATGGGTGAGCAATCTATATAATTGGTGTGATTGTAAGATCTGAATTATCGACTATCACAACTTTCGGCGCCCTTCTTGTACAGTAACGTCATCATAATTAAATACATTTGAGAGACGCTTTTTGTAAACAGAGATAGTTCTCCTTAACTCTACACTCCATATAGTCCCTTATCTGACTGTAAAAAGTCACATGTCGCATTTTTGCTTGCTATTTGTAGTTAGGTACATAGGAGGGGGTGAACAACATGTACTATGTTCCGGTGGTGGGAACTGTCATCTAACCTGTCAAATTCAAAATAATATTTCACATCGACGGAGTTATTCGTTATTTGTAAGAATAAAAAAATCTCTCTGCGAGCATTTTTGTAGTCCGGTTTTGCTTCGGTGTAAGTTTAGAAATTTCCCTACATTGATAGTAGCAAAACCAGACGACAGAAAATGCTTGCAAAGAGATTTTTCTTCATAAAAGTCACTAAGAACTTGGAACGGCTATTTTCATCAAATTTCTTGTTTTACTAGATGACGTGGGATACGGATATTTTTGAATACTCGTTCAATCCCGAAAACTATATTTGTAACAGGTTAATAAACTACGTCTGTAGCAAAGACATTACAACATTACTGTTGTAATGTCTTTGGTCTGTAGCTTGTTGTTTAGGCCGAAAACAGGGGTTAAACTTCATTTAAACATTTATTTTACATTGTATTCCTATTTCAAGATAAAACTTATTGCATGTCCCGGACAATTTCAGAATTAAAAATAAAAATCGACCTGTATGAGGATTTTTTTTAAATGTTTTTAATTTGAAAAGTAATGAATTTATTATATATTCTGTACTTAATGCATATATAATTCTAATACAATAAATTTTAAAATCTATTGAAAATTTAACACATACGATGGTGAATGGATAATAATCACTAATAAAAAAACCAATTATTTTTTAGTACTTTAGATTATGGTTCTGAAATCAGCAGAAAAAGATTTATAAGCAATACTTACTTTACTATATGGTTCCATAGTAATAACACTCTTGAAATGAAGCTCCGAACAAGGACTTACTATATAAAATTCGACTGGTACATTTATGGGATTTTTCATCTTTATTTTAGTTTTTACTGGTTGTCTTACGCATGTTAGTAACTGTATGGTATCTATCGGTTCGGGTGGAAGAACCTTGACAAAAATCTCGTAAAACATGTATTCATTTGACTGTTTATCTTTGAATATAACCTAAAAAAATAGCGATATGTATTAATATTAATACAATTAACGAGTGCTTTAATCGAAACAATTGAAAAATGTATAAACAGGTAACAAAATCAAGCCTAAAACTAGAATTAAAACTTCCCACCCTGAATATCTTCCTTCCAGTAAATAATATGAAAAGTTGCAAAAATCCGTCAATTTTATTTTCAAGGGGACACCTACAATGAATACTTTTAACACTCGTGGTTCAACCTCCTAGGAGGGGTAAATATTATCGCTATGGGAAAATGGGTCGAGTGGCACATCATTTTAAATGGCTTCTAATTCTCTTTCCAATCGTACCCTATCTTCTGACCAGCAGGTTCAGAGAAGTTGCGTTTCAAAGTTACTGAAGTTGAAACGTGCCTGCACTGATATTCTTGGTTTCCAGTTTAGTATTTAAACAAAAATTATTCTATAAAGTTAAATAATAGGAATATCAAGTCTACACGTTTGATTATTTTTCTGGTTACGTGACTTTTACAAAAATAACTTTTAATTTGCACAAGAAATTTTAAAAATAAAACACATAGGATCAACTTGTACACTATTTTAAAAGCTGTTCAAAATGTTGTCTATTGTACTGTAAACAATAATAAATGCTGTTTCTGACCTCCTCTCTAACATTTCGAAAAACTTCACCGGGAATTGACCGGCATGCCGCTGTAAGCCGCCTTTTAATATCATCAATATCAGCAGGTTGTGTTTCATAAATAACGGATTTAAGGTGTCCCCAAAGAAAAGAGTCTAAGGGAGTTAAAACAGGTGAACTTGAGGGCCATTAAATTGCTCCCGTTTTGCCAATCCAACTGTCTGGCAATCTCTCGTTTAACCACTGTCGGACGGGAAGAAAAAAATGCTGTGTAGTATCGTTCTGCTGGAAATGAGATTCTCCTAAATTACCTTCTTCATCAGTTTGAATTTCTAGCTCGTGAGTTATGAGAGGATCAATAGTCTCTTCAAGTAAATTAAGGTACATATCGCCTGTCAGTTTCCTTCAATAAATAAAGGACCAATAATTACATTTCCAAGAATACCACACCAAATATTAACTTTTTGCGAACGTTGTGCATGCCGACAATTTTGTTTATTTACATTAACATTAAAAAAATTAAGATTCAACGCTGAAACAGATATTCAGCAGGAGATTAGAGTTGGCGTTGATTTAATCAGACATGGTTTCACAAAACTATATTCTTCTATCAAAATCATTTTTGTAGAGCTCTTGATATATGTATCTGAATTTTATAAAGATGAAATTTATACATTTTCAGTGCTCTTATTACAGTCTCGCGTGATATTCCCGTCTGTTCTGCTACTGTTCGTATGGAGCTAGTTGGCACTGCAACAAATGTTCTCAGAACCTCTATCGGTTATTTCTTTTCCTATTGTTTACCGTACTAGTTTCCCAGAAACTTTGCTTCCAAATCGAGAATATACCTGTGACTTACAAAAACAAGAACGATTTCTTTTATTAAAAAGAAATCCAACCTCTTCATAAACGAAAATCATTTGGATTATTTTCTGTAGGGTAAACCATTTTAGCAATTTATTCATTTAATTAACGGTATCTCCGAACAGCCCAAGTAAAACTGAGTTAAAAATACTAATACTAAATGATTAAAATTTTCTAAACAATTATTTTACTTGACAAAAAGGGCTATTTCAAGATTTAAAAATATATAAATAGCAAAAAAGGCAGGTTATCTCTGGAATTTTAACGATAAGAATTAAAAAACACTATTTGATAAATTCAGTCTAATTGCTATCGAAATTTTACTATTAAATTATTTTTAAATGTAAAAGTTTGATGCCACCCTTAGATGAAAGAGGCCGGTGTCTCACAAACAATTTCGGAGTGGAGAAACCACCTCCAGTACCAATGTGTATGAGCGGAAAAATAAAAAAACGTCCTTTCGACACCTTCCGAACATATCTAGATAATTTACATGAAACTGAATGTTCAATCCGAATTTGAATTTCGGTCAATACGGAAATATTTTAAACTACGATGTTTTTTGCAAACAAGAATTTCTAGGAAATCAAAATATGGGGGCTCTTCGAAACGATCCTAGGCGGAAATTAATTAAAATATACATTTTACAATTAAAATAAAATTTAGTAACTTCGTCACACTTCCTACAAATGAAGCCATAAACCGTTGTTCTTTTATGACTGAAGTATCTGTTTCAACAGTTCAACGCGTTATACGCGAAATTACAATTACATGCTCCTTACAAGCTTTTAAAATACATACCGGTCATTAAAAACAGCTGAAATTGAGCGATAACCAAAAACAAATAATACAAAGAACTGTACTTTTTTTTAATAAAGCGCAAACCTTTAAAGCTGTTGTTGCAAAATTAAGAGGATACGAAAAAATTCCTTTACCCAGCCGTAAAACTTTAGGAAAATTTTTATGAAGACTGAAGTTTCGTTTGGTCAGCCGGTGTAAAAAATCAATTTTAGTTGGGAGGTCAGATAGATATAGAGCCTTGACGACGGAGTAATTTACATTGTATTAAAGAGTTTAGAGCCTTTAAAAAATAATATTATCTAGATGAATCGTGGATAAATGATGGACACACGGTATCTAAAATATGGCAAGATATTTCTGTTACGAGTCATTTCCAAGCTTTTGTGGCGGGATTATCTAAAACACCAGCAAGTAAAGGACGGCACCTAATTGTTACCGATACCGGAAGTAATAGTAACTTTTTGAAAAACAGTGTTATCGTGTTTATATTGAACAAAACAGGAGATTTCTACGAGGATATAAATACAGAACGCTTTAAAAAGTGGTTTACTGAAGTGTTACAACTCCAATATTTTGTCGAGCACTTTCGGCAATCATCGGGACTTTATCAGAAATAGAAGAGTTGGGTAACATCGCACACTTGGATAGTCTTATTTAGCAATAAAATGGATAAGAAAAATAAAAAATTTTAAAGTTTGAAAAATCCTCTACGTGTTCCCATCGGGACAAAGATATATTGGTTTAAAGACGATTTGGTTCTCAAACGACCAAGGATAGGGTTGTAGAAACGAAGTACTTCAGGCCTATATAGGAAGGTCGGTTTGAACAACATTTCTCTACTTAAATAAAATCTGAAAAAGTTTGTAATTTTGTTTGTAATTTTGAAATATAAAGTTTAATACTACTATTTTTTAAATATGTGTTATTAGTATCGGAGATATTGGACTGTTTTACCCTGTGTACGTAGTCATAATTTTGATTTTTTAATTATAAATAATGTTTTTTGAAAAATAAATAAAAAAGTTTTACAAGTAAATAAAAATGAAAAATAAGTCCTTACCTGAAGCTCTAGCGGTTCCTCATTTATAACATAAATATTCCACTTATATTCTTTGACCTCTCCAGGTTGAAGCTCCACTAAATTAAGTCCAAATGTTTTGAATAACACTTTAGGCGAAGGAGGACTCATAAATACAGTTTCGACTTCGAAACATTGCTTAAAGTCTGTCGAATTATATACAGGGAGAATTTGCCAATAGTTTTGTTTGCTTTTTATTTCGATAGAGAGTTTCTTTTCTGGCAAAGGTGGTAGGGTCTTTCCGATAAATTCGTACAAAATTTCTTCGTCGGGTAATGGCAGAATGAGAGTGGCCTAAAAATTTTTTACGATTTTTTAAGATGGTTTTGTAACATTTTTTTTTTTAAATTCAATCCTTTTATTCATGTTCCAAAACTGCAGAAATATTAAGCATATTAGATTAGAATCCTAAACTGATCTATCAATTCATAATAACAATTCGGACTTCAGAAACCTATAATATCGTGATAGCCGATTTAGCAAGAGAGCGTGAGTAAACCGCGAATATGGGGGTTCAAATCCTATTCCGGGACAGATTTTTCAATAAACTTGTTTTAATTTCGAGGATTTAAAAATAATATTTATTATTTTATAATTTTAAAAAATGTGTTTAGGAATTTCCAAAGAATTTATATTTACTTTGTTCTCGGATGGTAATACTATTGAAAAATTTATAATTAAAGAATCGACCTCTTATAAACGTTTTTTAAAGATGATTTGAACAAGTGATAAATTACAAAAATAGAGCAAAAAGCCTTATATAGCTTGGCATCAGTGCCCACATGCTTCGCTTTCGTTTCATGAAAATGTGAAAAAAAAAATACCTCTCTTAAGCTAGCAGGACCAACTGAGCGGAATCAATTAAAATCTATTACATTATTTAGTACCTATTTTGTACTAATTTGTACCACCAATAAAAATTTTGTAACATGTGCCGTTTTCAAAAAAAACGTGGCGCTGCTAGGTTAATATTAAGCTAGCAGGACCACATGAAAAAAATAAAATAAAAAACAAAACAAAGGTAGAATTAAAAAGAACTGAATTTGTACCAATTTGTACCACCAATCAATTTTTTTTACTATATACCGTTTTTTAAAAAAACACATGGTGCTTCTAGTTTAACATTAAGCTAGCATGACCACATTAAAAAAATTAAATAAAAAATAAACCAAAAGTAGAATTAAAAATAACTAAATTTGTACCAATTTGTACCACCAATAAATTTTCCGTACTATGTACCGTTTACAAAAAAACACATGGTGCTTCTAGTTTAATATTAGGCTAGCAGGAACACATTGAAAAATACATAGGTATAATTAAAAAGGACTGATTTTGTACCAATTTGTACCATTAAAAAAACCTAATTTATTTAATCAAACTGCCTGAAACAACTTTCAAATTAATCCAAATCTGTTATAATTAAGAAAAAGTGACTTTTTGCAGAAAAAGAATCTATTGATATTTTTGCATAAAACACAACATAATTTGTACCGTTAAAATATAAATTTTCAGAATATGCACCCCTGCCGTTCCTATAGAAACTATCCTAAATTCATATTCCTTTTAAACGAGCAAAATCCATCGTTATTTTTGCAATAAAAGTAACATAATTTGTACCGTTAAAATGTTAATTGTTAGATATTGTACCCCTGCTGTTCCTATAGAAACTATCCTAAACTCATATTAGGCTCAAGAGTAAAGTATCCTTTTGCACGAGCAGAATCAATAGTTACTCATTCAATAAAAGTAACATAATTTGTACCGCTTAAATATACATTTTCAGATTTTGTACCCCTGCCGTTCCTATAGAAACTAACCTAAACTCATATTAGGCTCAAGGCTAAAGTACCCTTTTGCATGAGCAGAATCAATAGTTACTCCTGCAATGAAAGTAACATAATTTGTACCGCTTAAATAAACATTTTTAGATTTTGTACCCCTGCCGTTCCTATAGAAACTAACCTAAACTCATATTAGGCTCAGAAGTAAAGTACCCTTTTGAACGAGCAGAATGAATAGTTACTCCTGCAATAAAAGTAACATAATTTGTACCACTTAAATATACATTTTCAGATTTTGTACCCCTGTCGTTCCTATAGAAACTAACCTAAACTCAAATTATGCTCAATAGTAAAGTACTCTTTTGCATAAGCAGAATCAATAGTTACTTCTGCAATAAAAGTAACATAGTTTGTACCGCTAAAATATACATTTTCAGATTTTGTACCCCTGCCGTTCCTATAGAAACTAACCTAAACTCATATTAGAGTCATGAGTAAAGTACCCTTTTGCACGAGCAGAATCAATAGTTACTCCTGCAATAGAAGTAACATAATTTGTACCACTAAAATATACATTTTCAGATTTTGTATCCCTGCCGTTCCTATAGAAACTAACCTAAATTCATATTAGGCTCAAAAGTAAAGTACCCTTTTGCACGAGCAAAATCAATAGTTACTCCTGCAATAGATTTAACATAATTTGTACCACTAAAATATACATTTTCAGATATTGTATCCCTGTCGTTCCTAGAAACTAACCTAAACTCATATTAGGCTCAGGAGTAAAGTACCCTTTTGAACGAGCAAAATCAATAGTTACTCATGCAATGAAAGTAACATAATTTGTACCGCTTAAATAAACATTTTTAGATTTTGTACCCCTGCCGTTCCTATAGAAACTAACCTAAACTCATATTAGGCTCAGAAGTAAAGTACCCTTTTGAACGAGCAGAATGAATAGTTACTCCTGCAATAAAAGTAACATAATTTGTACCACTTAAATATACATTTTCAGATTTTGTACCCCTGTCGTTCCTATAGAAACTAACCTAAACTCAAATTATGCTCAATAGTAAAGTACTCTTTTGCATAAGCAGAATCAATAGTTACTTCTGCAATAAAAGTAACATAGTTTGTACCGCTAAAATATACATTTTCAGATTTTGTACCCCTGCCGTTCCTATAGAAACTAACCTAAACTCATATTAGAGTCATGAGTAAAGTACCCTTTTGCACGAGCAGAATCAATAGTTACTCCTGCAATAGAAGTAACATAATTTGTACCACTAAAATATACATTTTCAGATTTTGTATCCCTGCCGTTCCTATAGAAACTAACCTAAATTCATATTAGGCTCAAAAGTAAAGTACCCTTTTGCACGAGCAAAATCAATAGTTACTCCTGCAATAGATTTAACATAATTTGTACCACTAAAATATACATTTTCAGATATTGTATCCCTGTCGTTCCTAGAAACTAACCTAAACTCATATTAGGCTCAGGAGTAAAGTACCCTTTTGAACGAGCAAAATCAATAGTTACTCATGCAATGAAAGTAACATAATTTGTACCGCTTAAATAAACATTTTTAGATTTTGTACCCCTGCCGTTCCTATAGAAACTAACCTAAACTCATATTAGGCTCAGAAGTAAAGTACCCTTTTGAACGAGCAGAATGAATAGTTACTCCTGCAATAAAAGTAACATAATTTGTACCACTTAAATATACATTTTCAGATTTTGTACCCCTGTCGTTCCTATAGAAACTAACCTAAACTCAAATTATGCTCAATAGTAAAGTACTCTTTTGCATAAGCAGAATCAATAGTTACTTCTGCAATAAAAGTAACATAGTTTGTACCGCTAAAATATACATTTTCAGATTTTGTACTCCTGCCGTTCCTATAGAAACTAACCTAAACTCAAATTATGCTCAAGAGTAAAGTACCCTTTTGCACGGGCAGAATCAATAGTTACTCCTGCAATGAAAGTAACATAATTTATACCGCTTAAATATACATTTTCAGATTTTGTACTCCTGCCGTTCCTATAGAAACTAACCTAAACTCAAATTATGCTCAAGAGTAAAGTACCCTTTTGCACGGGCAGAATCAATAGTTACTCCTGCAATGAAAGTAACATAATTTATACCGCTAAAAGGGTACTTTACCTTTGAGCCTAATATGAGTTTAGGTTAGTTTCTATAGGAACGGCAGGGATACAAAATCTGAAAATGTATATTTAAGTGGTCCAAATTATGTTGCTTTCATTGCAGGAGTAACTATTGATTCTGCTCATGCAAAAGGGTACTTTACTCCTGAGCATAATTTGAGTTTAGGTTAGTTTCTATAGGAACGGCAGGGGTACAAAATCTGAAAATGTATATTTAAGCGGTACAAATTATGTTACTTTCATTGCATGAGTAACTATTGATTCTGCTCGTTCAAAAGGGTACTTTACTCCTAAGCCTAATATGAGTTTAGGTTAGTTTCTATAGGAACGGCAGGGGTCGAAAATCTGAAAATGTATATTTAAGCGGTACAAATTATGTTACTTTTATTGCAGAAGTAACTATTGATTTTGCTTGTGCAAAAGGATACTTTACTCTTGAGCCTAATATGAGCTTAGGATAGTTTCTATAGGAACAGCAGGGGTACAAAATCTAACAATTTACATTTTAACGGTACAAATTATGTTACTTTTTTTGCAAAAATAACGATTGATTTTGCTCGTTTAAAAGGAATATGAATTTAGGAGAGTTTCTATAGGAACGGCAGGGGTGCATATTCTGAAAATTTATATTTTAACGGTACAAATTTTGTTGTGTTTTATGCAAAAATATCAATAGATCCTTTTTCTGCAAAAAGTCACTTTTTCTTAATTATAACAGATTTGGATTAATTTGAAAGTTGTTTCAGACAGTTTGATTAAATAAATTAGGTTTTTTTAATGGTACAAATTGGTACAAAATCAGTCCTTTTTAATTATACCTTTGTATTTTTCAATGTGTTCCTGCTAGCCTAATATTAAACTAGAAGCATCATGTGTTTTTTTGTAAACGGTACATAGTACGGAAAATTTATTGGTGGTACAAATTGGTACAAATTTAGTTATTGTTAATTCTACTTTTGTTTTATTTTTTATTTTATTTTTTTAATGTGGTCCTCTAGCTTAATATTAAACTAGAAGCACCATGTGTTTTTTTATAAACGGTACATAGTACAAAAAATTTATTGGTCGTACAAATTGGTACAAATTCAGTTCCTTTTAATTCTACCTTTGTTTTATTTTTTATTTAATTTGTTTCATGTGGTCCTGCTAGCTTAATATTAACCTAGCAGCGCCACGTTTTTTTTGAAAACGGCACATGGTACAAAATTTTTATTGGTGGTACAAATTAGTACAAAATAGGTACTAAATAATGTAATAGATTTTAATCGATTCTGCCCAGTTGGTCCTGCTAGCTTAAGAGAGGTAAAAAACATTTACATTTACGTACAATATTAATTATAGCCCTTACATTTTGAATAATATTATGCTATACCTCTATAAAAGTAATTTTAAAAAAACCGACCTTAAAATCGTGCAGATGCCATCATAGAAATCGGACAAGGTGGTAAAGAATTACCGCTACACATACATAAAAAATGAAGAGTTTAAGGACTTTCTGATGGATCCAATTATTAGATTTTGACCAAATTTATATTGGACCACTCCTGAAGTACCCTCTTTCTAATAAAAAAAGAATCATTGAAGTCGGACAATGTGTTAAAAAATTATCGCTGAACATACATAAAACAATATATTACGAGAATCTCTTCCTTTTTTGAAGTCAATTAAAAAGTAAACGAAAGATACAATATGTAGTTTACAGTACGTCCACCACTGCTTTTCTAATTACTCCCAATAAACATTTTGTGTAGGGGAATAAAAGGCCTATTTAATGTTTCCCTCCAATTTTAATGCTGACCATTTAACTTTTATAATTAAAAAGCTGGCATATATATGTCACTATGAATGCTTACTTACTGCCCAAAATCTTAACGACGATTTAAATGATTTATGTGATATTTCTACAGCTCACAACCTTAAAATAAATTCTAAAAAATCATCCATTATGTTATTTGGCCCCAAACAATTAAAACAATTAACAATAAACGAATTACAAATTAAATTAGGCGATGCTCTCCTTCAATTCACGGATGAAGGAAAAAACCTAGGTCTCTGGTTAGATTCTGATCTTCGTTTTAGTAAACATACCTCCACCATATCTCGAAGTTCGTTCAACGTCTTAAGATAGTTGTATCCTAACCGAGACCAGGGGGTCAATTCTCGACTTTTATTCCCATGGGAAAATAAAATTTTCCCATGGGAATTCAGTTTTCGTATTCTCGGCATAAGCGGTGGAATATTTTCCAATGAGAAGTATGGGAAAATATTCCCCTGCTTACGAGCATTGGAAATTGTGTTTTCCAATGGGAATTGTACTAGAGTTTGCGCATTAAAGTCGAAAATTTGACGAAAGACCACGCGAAAGACTAAGACATAACCAAAGATTATTGGATATCTTGGATTTTTGGTGAAATTGTAGTTAAAACATTTTTTTTGTGTATTTATAAATTGATATTATTTTATTTATGTGGGTATATTATTTTTACCTCTTTTTCACTAAGAAACTGATTTTCTTAAATTAGTTAGAAATTGTGGAAGTTGCTAAGGGACTGGCAAATAGGTAACACAAATTGAGAAATTTGTAGTAAATTTAATAAGACCTTTTCGAAAATTTTATTATTTCCGTTAACGAAAGATTTTCTTAGTTTCTCGAAACTTTCGTTGCTCTTCTATACAAAAGCTACTTTTTCTTTTTATAATATGTGAAAAGAAAAACTAAAAATAACTCGAAAAGTTTTAATTATACATAATCGAATATTTTCACTTGTCCTCGGTCAAGCTAGCGATTGCTCGGCACGGCATCTGCTCCAGCGCAGAGGCTCGGCAGGTAATCGGTTACCCAAAAACCACAACAAATACAAATAATACCAACAGTAAATTTTAAAATATCTTTAATGTTATTGGTTATTTCGAAATATTCGTAAACTTAATATCAGACATACGTGAAACTATTATTTTCATGGGAATGTCTATTCCGACAAGTTCGAGAATTGCATAACCTATTACCATGGGAATATAAGTAGTGGAATCTTTTCCCATGGGAAAATTTTCCAATGAACTCGAGAATCGAGCCCCAGGAGTGCGTTTAGAAACCCCGCACGGCGCGTCTGGGCCCTATTCTAATGCATGTGGTCAGACGCGCCGTGCGGGGTTTCTAAACGCACTCCTGCTTTCCACACAACTCAAACGTTTTTTTTTTATTGGTCTCAACTTATACAAGTTATTTAACCAGCACTAACATTAGTTACATGTAAATAAATACAATAAAATTTAAAACACTATTTGGCTCTGTAAAATTAAAAAAAAAATAACCTCTTTTTAATTGGGAAAGAAGAAATCCTGATATTAATTGTCATTATCTGTCATGACACGTAATTGTCACGATGCGTTTAACAACTTCAACTCAGATTTTGGACTTCAACGTAAAAATTATATTTCTGCGTCGACGTTCACGTTTACGTTAACGTACTGGAAATACGTCAACTCTTTATTAATCAGATCTCTACCGTATAATCAGATCCAATAATAATATTGACATATGACAGACAGTTCATTAGTGTTGACAGTTGAAAATGAAAAGGTGTTTCGTCTCGCTTATAATAAAGTTTGGAAAATTTTAAAAGTAATATATAACTTCTCTATAAACTTTGAAATTCGATCAGGCTTGGCAAATGCAGTAACAATCGTTTTACGTGCAAGCTATTCAAGCTAAAATGAAGAAGGTAACTTAATTTCCTTTAACAAAATGTGGCTTTTTACATTCTGGTCATTATTTCTTTATTTGTTAACTTTAAAATAGGTATTGTATTTTGAAATCCAAGGTAGCAATAATGGGTGTCAATTTACCAGAAGATGCATAGCTCCCCTCAAGGAATGAGTTGTGTAATATTTTTTCATGCACTGGAAAAAAGGAAGACGCCAAGTTAAAAATAGCTAAAGCCATTATGGGTAATTATTTTAACCTAATATCAATTGTTTATATTGTCGTTTAATTAAAACATTTTCAGATTCGGTAAATTGGTACACAAAAAAGAAATGGAAATAGAAATAGATGACTGGTTGTGGAGAGCTCCGGAAAGAAATAGACACAATGAATCAGAGCGTTATAATTAACATTTTTTATTTTTGTGTCAAAAAATATTTTTTTTTTCAAATAAATTTATAAAAAATAGTATTAGATTTGATTATCCTACTAAAAAAACGTTTAGGTCATTTCTGGAACGTTCCAGCAACAGTATAAAAAACTTACCTAAGATGTTTGAGCTAAATCGCGGGATGTTCCACAAACGTCCCTGTGAAATGTCTCTAATACGTTATAAATGATGACATGGTCATTGCCAAAAACATACCAGGTAAGTTTGAGGGAGAATAAGAAACATGACAGAGACGTTTCTAATGTCCCAAGTGCATGTTTCTGGAACGTTTGTGTAACAATACTGTGCTATTAGGGTTAAGAATCATTCGCGTGGTGTGCGGTAGACTCAGAGCACGATATGACGAAATTGGCACTTTATTGGCTCGTTATAGGATCGGCTCTAACGCGCCTCCCCATATTTATACGCATCTTTACAAATAAAATAATATTACTATAAAACATAAAAAAACAATAATTCAAAATTTGTAATGATTTTTCTGTAAAAAAGAAAAGCTAAAAATTTTGAATTCAGTATTTACATGTAAGTTATCGGCTAGAAGTTAGGTGTTATCTTAGTAAAAATTAAAAGTACAATTTTTGTTTTGAAGTTCTCGAAAATCTGATTGTGCTGTTTGTGAGTATTTTTTTATTTATTTATGCATTTTGTATACTTTTTCATTTTATTTTCTAGTTTGCGTCATATGAACAAATAATGTTACAAGTTTCTGTACTGTTAAAAAACATGATTTAAGAATCCATTTATAAAGGCCTTTTTGTTCCATATTAAGTAGTTACTTTTTAACCAATTGTATTATTTTTAGTCTCTCAATAGTTCAAAACAAAAACAAAAATTCTTGTAATGTTGATTTTTTTTAGCAATTTTTCATTAATTAATTTTTTAATTTCAATATTATAATTTCTATTTCAGTGGTGAAATATTAATATTTTTTAACCACACATACCTGTTCATCCAAAATCAATTTTGGATGATATTCTACAGGAACGGCACTAACGGATTCTGGTTCGACTACAATCTCCGAGGGTATTACAAAGTTCTTATTTGATAATACAGGATACAGACGCCATAAAGTTGTAGTTCTAAAAAAGATAAATATTCAAGTAATGTAACCGAAAAGAATAGAAAATGTTTTCAAAGGTCATATCCAAATCCAAAGTTGATACTTTTTTTACTGTGTATAGAAGTCGTTAAACAAAACATATTTTTCAAATAATTTTTTTACTCATTAATAAGAAAGATAAACAACTAAAAATCCTAAATCCGGGACAGAACTTATAAATATGAATCACAATTCATGTATACTAATTTTTGTAATTTAATCGCGTGATTTCAGTAGGTCAGTAGTGTGTTAATATGTTCAGTAGACAAATTGAAAAAAAGGTGCGTTTATAAGACACATTTTAAATATAATTTTATCAAGGAAGATCTGACAACAAGTACGCGGATGTTTGCAGATAGGACAAGTGAAAGAAAAGAGTGGACAACTGCGGGAAAATCCCTTTCACGTTTAACTTAATAATTTTTTCGCAACGTTATTTTGGGAATGGTTCTTAAAACTGCAACACTTTTCGTCGAAAATTATAGAATTATACAGGACCGTATTAGATAAATTTTGCAATAAATTAATGTGAGTTTATTTTTCAGTTTTTTTTAAAAAGTTGTGAATTTTAATGGCTTCCATACACAGCTAAAAAAGTATCCACTCTGTATAATAAGTGGTATGATGTTAGTTCCAACGTAGAAAATGCAATGACACTGTCATTAGTTGGAATTTAAAAAGAATATCGATATTTAAGCGTACCACGAAATTAAATTTAGAAAGAGAATATAATGAGTATGATGACAACCATATGAAAATAATAATTATAACTGACATCAACGGCGTTCCAGGCCGAATTTCCGAAGGGGATCGTTGCCAATAACAATTTCCTTTTTAGCATATTTGTTTTTTAATGAAAGGTCCACGGATTGTAAACATTTTAATCTCGGGGGGCCATGAACCTATGACTTCCACCCGGAACCACCCTTGACTGACAGGTAATGGTTTGTATCGAAAGAAGTTTGTTTCGGAGTGTACTATATCGATAATACAACATTGTGGTATTGTCACTTATTAATAGAGTTGCCAGATTTCCGAAAGTGAAAAGCGTGACAACTGTGATGAGAGAGCATTAGGTTCAAATACCAAGCATTTTTTTATAATGAGGTCCATTTTTTGTGAACATTTCTAAAAAAAAAAGATCCTTAGCTTATTTTTCGTAAAAACGAGGGTCTTTTACCCAGACATTTGTCTATTTTTGTATAAATCCGGTTTCTCTGCGGCTTTCAATTAAAAACATGGCATTTGCATAAAAAGAGTGGCATTTTTTTCAAAAGCATGGCATTTTTTTCAAAAGTGTGTAATTTTTTTCAAAAGCGTGGCATTTTCGTACTGTGGCGTTGCGCGTACAAGCAAGTCAAAAAGCGTGGCAAATAAAATCGTGACGTCTGGCAACCTTACTTATTAACAATAAAGTTTTCTAAATTTGATTGGTCGAAAGCAGCGTCACGTGACATATTAATTATATTCTCTTTTTAATAGATTTTTACTTACTTGTTTACAATATCAACGTTTTGAGTTATTTTTTGTCTAACGGGACAACTAAATATTATCGTTGAGACTGGAGGCGGTTTGGTAATTGAATTGGCTACCAATGTTAATTCAAGTGGATGCTTATTATTTATAATACAATTACACTAAAAAACAAAACAATAAGCTATAGTCATATATATTTTGTAGTCTAATGTAACAGAGGGAGGCCGAAGAAATAATAATTATCATTTAAAATGTTGTGTCTCGTAGGCTTCGTAAAGTGTACTAATAAATTAGGAAAATTTAAATTTTTTATTTTCTTATTAATCCATCGCCTTCGTGTATTGTAGAAAGAGTAGAAAGGAAAAATAATTATATTACTTCCTTTTTTAAATTCAATTTTGATAAATTTGATAAATTTATCTCTCTATAAATTAGGAATTCAAACCAAAATGGCTACAGTGGGTTTTGACAGGTTATAATATGGCAACATTGTGGCAACCCTGTAGGCCTGGTGATTTGACAAGGTCAATGAAATAGATAGTTACATAGATTGATCATCCATAATTTTCAAAATAAACATAAGCTTATTAAGTAAAAATGTAGGTAATTATTTTTTTACTATATTTAAAGGCTAAATATTGGTTTGTAAACACATTTTTGCAAAATAGATTCTGATTAATGAGCACTTTGGAGGCAATATGGCCGCTCGCAAATGACCGGCCTTGAGCAATTTATATATGTATCATTGACCCTGTCAATGACAACAGGCTCACATGGTTGCCATATTTAAATGTCAGTTCCCACTTTTTGGCAGTTTGACAGATCGTTGGAATGTCTAATTACGCTGCGAAATCACAAAAATGGAGGCTAGTGCAAAATCAACTGTAACAAATTAAACTGACAACGATCAATGAAGTGTAATAGGACCTATCTTATTAATAATTTATTTAAATAAAGTCTGAAACATAATTTAAAATAGACAGGAAAGTATTGTAAATTTTGCTGACGATGGAAACCAATAATTGGATCTGAGAAAAACGAACTTGTAGAACAGAGAAAGGACCTTTTAGATAGAACAGAAAAATAATTTGAACAAAATAAAGGACCCCGCACACCGCTTATGGAAAAGTGGCGACCTGTTAAATGTCATAAATTTTTGATATGTTACAGTTCTCGACCTCTTAAGCAATAGTGTCTATGAAACCATTCAAATCCTATGACTGGTTTTTGATATACGTGATAGGTGATATACAAATAAGTGGTATTTCTTAAGTTTAACACCCTGTATCTTAAAAACCAATCATATAAAAAAGCTAAAATTTTGGAAAATATCTGCTACATGACGGATGATACGCCAATGAAAAAATATGTATACTTTTACAGGACTAATCAAAAAGTACAGGGTGCTTAAAAAAATTGTTTTTTTGACATATTCGATAAAGTAATTATCAATATATTTATTAAATCACCTTGTAGTCAATGAATTGGATAATTGTACACATGGTAAATAAACAACAGTCCTGTAAAAATACTGCGTTTCACATTATTACTTATAAAAAAATATATTGGCCTATGTCGATATTTACGAATCACTCTGTATAAATGGCACCTAATATCTTTTGTATTATCATCAGATATGATAAATATAGCAATAATTTATTTTTTAGTAAATATTTTCACCTTCTAGAACAATAAATGTATTTATCAAAAACATGTCCCTACTTATTTGTGGCCCACCCTGTAAAGGAAAATAATTTTTGAAATATTTTTATATTCGTAGGATGCCAAAAGATGTTCCAATAAGATTTTGCTCAAAAAATTATAATCGATTAGCTTTCTCCTGAAATAAGAGTTATCAAATGAGTGGTATTTCTTAAGTTTAACAAGCTATAATTTTTGGTAATTTATTTTCTACAAAATGATTGATACACCAGTAAAGAAACACCTTCATAAGACTAAAAGTAAAGGGCGATTTATCAAATTTTGTTGACACACTATTAATCTATCCATTAAGTCACCATGTAATCAATAAATTGGATAGTTCTACACATGTTAATAATATAAAAAATACACAAAAGTCAACTAAAAATATGAAGTTTCACATTCATTAAAAAAAATCGAATCACTCTGTATAAATGGCACCTAAAATTTTTTGTATTAATAAAAATAATTATCAAAAACACGTCCTTACTTATGTGTGGCTCACACAAATAATTGTTGACCACCTTTTATAGGTATTCGTAGAATGCCAAAGGATGTTACAATAAGATTTGGCACAAAAACATATAATCGATTAGCTTTCTCCTGAAATAAACGTTATCAAATAAGTGGTATTTTTTAAGTGTAACACCCTGTATCTAAAAAACCAATCATGGAAAAAGCTATAATTATGAAAAATATTTTCTACAGGATGACACGCCACTGGAAAAATATGTAAACTTTGACAGGACTAATAAAAAATATAGGGTGCTTAAAAAAATTGTTTTTTGACACATTTTATAAATTACCTATCAATATATTTATTAAATTACCCTGTAGTCAAGTAATTAGATAATTGTAGATATCGTAAATACACAAAAGTAGTAAATAAGTAACGAAAAATCAGTTTAAAAAAATAATACCTAACAAATCTAGAACGATACAGTTTAATTTATTTACTTCGGTATTGCGAATCGTATATTTCCTCCTTTTTAAATGTTATAAATTTTTTGGGTGAAGTCATTTTATTTAATGTATATGTACCTCTTGTGTAGTTGTAGGTATGTCTGAATATTATTTAAAAAATACATAGTTCGTTTATACAGGGTGTCTGTAAAAGGTCTTTACAAAAACATACCACATATTCCTTAGACCAAAATAAGTCGATTTAAGTAAAATTACTTTAGTACAAAGGCTTCGTTTGGGCTTCAGAGGGCCTTGAAGTTACAATTTTTAAATCGTTTTTCCCATATAAATTTAAAACGGCATATGCGATTTTGCTGAAATTTGGAATATTGGTAGAGTTTTATGTGGCAAAAAAAATGGTATTAAAATTTTGTCCGATAATAATACATAGGCGTAGAACTTGATTTTTTAAATAATTGCACCTTTAAAAATTCTACGCCAATGGAAGAAAAGGAGTTTGAGTATGAAATTTAGATTGCGCAACTCATTTACTTTAAAAAAGGTACACTTAATAAGACTCGAATACTCTCATGGTTTTCGCTAAATTTCTGTTTTAATAATTTGGAGTTTCACAAAAATATTTATTTACAACATAATCAAAATAGAGATTTTACAAAAATTGTTCAAAATGTTCACCATTTTCACGCATACAAAGATTTATACGTCGAAGAAAATTAAAATGTATCCTTTCCATAACTTCTTCATCACCTCTAAGATTGTTTATTGCATCTTGAATACGTTGCCAGAGTTGTTTCTCATTTTCAACAGGTTCCCTGTAAACTGTGGATTTCAGATGTCCCCATAAAAAGTATTCCATCGGTGTTAGATCTGGGAAACGTTGTGGCCAGTTTACAGGTGCGTCATTACCTCTGCCTATCCATTTGTGTGGATATTGTTCATTCAAGTGTTTTCTAAAGTTTAAAGAAAAATGTGGTGGAGCTTCATCTTGCATAAACCACATCTCTCCGAAGTTGGAGAGGTAAATCTTCTAACAATTCTGGCAACGTATTCTGTAGAAAATCCAAATAATTGTCTCCAGTTAATCTTCGTGGAAGTATGACAGGACCAACAATGAAATTACCAATTATTCCAGCCCACACATTAATTTTCAATTCGTGCTGAAAATGGTTTACCTTTATTGCATGCGAATTTTCAATGGCATAAACATGTTCATTATGGGTATTAGTTATACCTCTTCTTGTAAAACCCGCTTCATCGGTAAAGAGAACCTTCTTGACAAAGTTTGGATCTCTTTCTCTTTGCATATTAACAAATCGACAAAAACCCAAACGAATTTGAGGATCATGGACTAATAATTCTTGTACTGGCTTCTTATGGTATGGATATAGCAATTGTTCTCTAAGCACTTTATGAACGACATCTTTACTTACTCCTAGTTCCCCTCCAATTCGTCTGGTGCCTAATTCTGGATCTTCTTCAACACGTTCTAAAATGTCTTCTTCAACTTCAGGAATCCTTACAAAACGTTCTCTTCCATTATCAACAGTGTTTGGAGCAAAGGAACCGGTCTCCCAAAGACGTCTCTCAACAGCAGCAAAAGTTGGGTGGGTAGGTACAGGACGATTTGGAAACCTTTCAGAGTACACCCTGACACTCTCTCGAGCATTTCCTTCACAAAATCCTAATGTCAGTAATATATCGGTATATTCTGCATTGGTATATTGTACAGCCATATTAATAAACCACGCATTTGTTTTTTTAATTATTGAGTCAGATAGAACACTTTCAATCGTTAACAAGAGATTAGGTGTTAAAACTTGACAATATTTTTATTTAGATGAAACTATGGAAACCAACAATAAATGTTTTTGTATACGTATTGCAGGCAAATAATTAATATTCCTCAAAAAATCGTACATGGCAAGAATCGAGTATTTTTGTTAAAAGTCTCGATTAGAGGTGTTGAAGAAGATATGAAAAAAGTACTTTACTATGTTTTTCATCGTATAAAATTTTGTCCGATAATAATACATAGGCGTAGAACTTGATTTTTTAAATAATTGCACCTTTAAAAATTCTACGCCAATGGCAGAAAAGGGGTTTGAGTATGAAATTTGGATTGGGTACGCATTTACTACAAAAAAGTACCCTTAATAACACTCGATTTACTCTCATGGTTTTGACAAAGTTTGTATTTTAATAATTATTGTTTATGTTCTAAAATTACTAAAATGCAAATTTCGTCAAAACCATGAGAGTAATCGAGTCTTATCAAAAGTACCTTTTTTAAAGTAAATGAGTTGCGCAATCTAAATTTCATACTCAAACTCTTTTTCTTCCATTGACGTAGAATTTTTAAAGGTGCAATTATTTAAAAAATCAAATTCTACGCCTATGTATTATTATCGGACAAAATTTTAATACCATTTTTTTTGCCACATAAAACTCTACCAACATACCAAATTTCAGCAAAATCGCATATGCCGTTGTAAATTTATATGGGAAAAACGATTTAAATATTGTAACTTCAAGGCCCTCTGGAGCCCAAACGAAGCAACTTTGTACGAAGGTAATTTTACTTAAAACGACTTATTTTGGTCTAAGGAATATGTGGTATGTTTTGTAAAGACCTTTTACAGACACCCTGTATATTATACCTACCTTTTTTACCAACTGGAACTTTACGGTACTGACTTTAAAAGAAAAGTCTACTTTTACGTCAGACTTAGGTTTCACATATCCTTCAATAGGATGAACTTTAAAGTATTCCAAATACTCATTCTGCCATCTGAACCTGTAAATATGGAGATTGTTAAATGTGTTATGCATTATGCTGATTTTTCTAAAAGGAATTAGAAAAAATAAACCGTCAGTTCATTGATAAAGAGATTTTAGGACAAGTCTCTTGAAAATTATTATTGATATACAAAATTGCGATCGGTAAGCGTGTATTTTGCACTCACTAAAATAACGGAACAGGTCCGGATTTACACTTTTTTACTTCTACTATGTCTGGTTAAGTAAATCTGATTTGAATTTAAAAAAAATGCCTTTACAGATATTGTTTACTATTAAGTTTTTTAATAAAATAAAAGTTATGTTTGAACGAAAATCGTATTAATTTAGGTCTAACAATATTTTTCATAACAGTCATTTTCATAAATTAATCTTCTCACATTACAAGAGAAAATTCAACAATAAGATGTACCGACTTAGTGTAATAAGTTTATTTAAAATCAAAGTTATACATATTTATGAATGCAAATATGTACGAAGTTACCAGAGTTTGTTTTTACAAAAAATAGTAAGTTATAATTTTTAAATTATCGTATTTCATTCTCTACTGAAAAATATAAGGAAGATATGGATGCTTATCAGAGTCCCAAAAAATGTACTTTGGTTCATCCTAAAGGGAAAACTATGGGCGAGTCAAATTAAAATTTACAGCTCGCTGTCGACCAGCTGATTTCAATCGAGGAAGGTTACATAAATAACCTTAATTTTTGCTAAAGTGTTGTTAGATTTTTTATTTGTGTTGTTTTCGTAAATATGAAATATTAGGCATTCCAACGACCTGTCCAACGACCTGTCCAAATGGCTACCAGTGGGTACTGACAGTTTAGATATGGCAACCCTGTTGTCATGTTGTCATTAACAGGGTCAATGATACATATATGTTATATACATTGCTCAAAGCTGGTCGTTTGCGAGCAGCCATATTGCCTGGCAAATATTTATTAATTTGAATCAGTTTAGCAAAAATGTGTTTTAAAACCAATTTTCAGACTTTAGATATTTAAAAAATAATAATTGCTTATATGTTTACTTCAAGGCATAAGCTTATGTTTATTTTAAAAAATAGGGATGATCAGTCTATGTAACTATCTATTTCACTGACCTTGTCAAATCACCAGGCCTACAGAGTTGCCATAACTTTGCCACATCATAACCTGTCAAAACCCACTGGTAGTCATTCAGTTTGGAATGCCTAATTGGGCTAAAGGTCTATTTATACTCCCTTATTATTAGTATTTGCATAAGTATTATGATTAAGTATTAAGTTAAACCTCTACAATGTAATGGAGATATTTATACTCGATTTATGAATATTATTAGCATTAATATTTATGCTTAATAATTGACAGGTTCAACTTTTATGCTAAATCTTAATTTTTTCTTTTCTATCAAATGAAATAATGACGTATTTGGCCTTTATTTTTAATAGACAACGGATAATGACAATTGACGATACACATATGATTATGTTGTCAGATGTTGTTTATGTTTATTCTCGGATTTATTCATAGAAAAATAAAAAGTGTTTATTTATATATGATTCATACCAGAGAACTACGAGTACGAGAAATACGAGTAATATCAGCAGTGTTTACCGAGTATAAAGTTGACAGAATGAAAAATGACATGTCAAATTTCTGCTTATTTTTATGTGATATAAATTTGAGACATAAATCCGTTAAAATGTCCTTAATTAAACCTATTTAAAAAAAATATTTTTAAATAAAATTAACTAGTAAAAATATTAATAAAAACACATTATAAACTAAAATATCTTAAAAAATATTCTAAGAACACAACTGGCCTCTTACACATTTCTTCAGTAACCCTACACTTTGTTGACTGCAGAATTATATCTTATTAGGATTAAAAAAAAGATCTAATACTAATTATCCAACGAGTATAAATACCCTTTTTGAATATTTTGTCCAGTTTAATAATTATTCATAATACTAATACAAATACTAATAATAAGGGAGTATAAATACACCATAAGTTTGCTAGAAATATTTAACAATTTAGAAACGACTCCAGCTTTCAGAAACGTCCATGAAGGCAAACAATTATTAAATGATTTATAGGGCTGAACAATCACCAATAAAATCGATTATTTTCGATTATTTTCGAATATTTTTCGATTATTTTCGATTATTTTCCATTATTTTCGATTATTTTCGATTATTTTCGATTATTTTCGATTATTTTCGATTATTTTCAATTATTTTCGATTATTTTCGATTATTTTCGATTATTTTCGATTATTTTCGATTATTTTCGATTATTTTCGATTATTTTCGATTATTTTCGATTATTTTCGATTATTTTCGATTATTTTCGATTATTTTCGATTATTTTCGATTATTTTCGATTATTTTCGATTATTTTCGATTATTTTCGATTATTTTCGATTATTTTCGATTATTTTCGATTATTTTCGATTATTTTCGATTATTTTCGATTATTTTCGATTATTTTCGATTATTTTCGATTATTTTCGATTATTTTCGATTATTTTCGATTATTTTCGATTATTTTCGATTATTTTCGATTATTTTCGATTATTTTCGATTATTTTCGATTATTTTCGATTATTTTCGATTATTTTCGATTATTTTCGATTATTTTCGATTATTTTCGATTATTTTCGATTATTTTCGATTATTTTCGATTATTTTCGATTATTTTCGATTATTTTCGATTATTTTCGATTATTTTCGATTATTTTCGATTATTTTCGATTATTTTCGATTATTTTCGATTATTTTCGATTATTTTTGATTATTTTCGATTATTTTCGATTATTTTCGATTATTTTCGATTATTTTCGATTATTTTCGATTATTTTCGATTATTTTCGATTATTTTCGATTATTTTCGATTATTTTCGATTATTTTCGATTATTTTTGATTATTTTCGATTATTTTCGATTAAATGATTATTTTAGATTTATCGGTTATTCAATGAATCGATTGTTTTTGATTAATCGATTATTTAATTAATCGATTATTTTCGAGGAGTAAACGAATATTTTCGTTTAATCGATTGTTATAGATTAATTGAAAGACCGATTATTTTCCATTAATCAATTATTTTTAAATTATTATTTTTAAATTATTATTATTCAATTAGATTATTCGATATTATTTAATTGATTTTTATTTTTACATTTTATTTTTATTAATTTATTATTAGTTAATATACCTAATTCAATAAAGAGTTATTGCAAATTTCTATAACGTCAGCCACTAATAGTAACAACGTAATTAGAGGCAAATAAATTTCATGCTAAAATAAGACTTATTGCAAACCCGAAATTTTGACATTAGAGTTCTTGTCCTTATACGTATTTCTAACCTCATTTTAAAAATTTTAAATTACAATTCATCATTTTTGTTGTTTATAATAGTACATAATATGGAAGAGACATTAAAAATTACCATTTTAGAAGATTTAGATGACGATAATATTAAATACTTAATATTAAAAAATTTCGAACTGATACGAATGTTGGCGGGCGCACCCAAAAACTATAAAGTCATCACTAACTGCTGTCCTTAAACATCCACAATTAAGGACAAAAACAATCTTTATTAAAGTCAGTTCTAAAATGTAAGTGATCTCTGCATGCTTAGATGTCAAAATAAGAGCGGCACTAATAGTGACTGACCTTAAGGTGATTACAGCACGCCTTATAATTTTCGGACAATCATATCTCAAAAAGTTATTTTTAAAAAAAAATTAAATTTGGCAAAATAAAAAAGGAAATAATATCTAGAATATGCATATATTTTAAAATTTTAGTTTCTTCCAGTTTTCAAGAAAAAAAAAATCAAAGGTCTTTAATTTTTTAAATATCATAATTAAAATAAATGCATTCGTCAACAGCCCTATTCTTAATATAATCCCCAAATTTAAGCTACTAAACTCTTGTTAATCATTTTTTAAAATTCGTCGAAATTAGTGACTAAAACGCCTCGTTAAGTGCTGCTTTCTGGTGTAACGCGTCTGCAACTATAGTATCGTACACTCTCAGTCATCATTCGTTTCTTGCAACGATTTACACCAGTTTACACCAGAAGATAGCCCTTAACGAGGCGTTTTAGCCACTAATTTCGGCGACTTTTAAAAAATGATTAACAAGAATTTAGGAGCTTAAATTTGGGGATTATATTAAGAATAGGGCTGTTGAGGAATGAATGCATTTATTTTAATTGATATTTCAAAAATTAAAGACCTTTGATTTTTTTTTCTTGGAAACTGGAAGGAATTAAAACTCTAAAATATATACATGTTCTAGATATTATTGCCTAAATTATTTTCATAAATTTTTATTTAAAAAAAATACTCTTTGAGATATCCGAAAATTCTAAAGGATGCTGTAATCACCTTAAGTGAACTTGCAATAACTCTCTAATTACATATTACATAATAAGGTTTAACACAGGTTGTTGCCCAAAAGTCCCACAACACATTTTTTAATGGAGTGAAAAAAACTATTTTCTTTGTATTTCCTTTAAAATCGATTATTCGATTAATGAGTCATTAGATTATTTTAATTAATCGCTTAATCGAAAATAATCAATTAATCATGGCACAATAGTGTACATAAAACCATCTATAAAAATAATGGAAGAAAATTTCATTAAATTTTTACGTATAACCTTTGTGGACTGAAAAACGGACAAAAAGGTTTCAATTTTTTCTTTAAGGTACAACCACATGTGTTTTTTACAAAATAATAGTTTAGGTCCCTGACCATCTGAAATCGGCAATTACAACCTTTTTTAATAGGGACATTTTTTTTGCGAAATTTGTCAAAAATCTGTCATATGTTTTATTACTTTTTCACACATACCTCGCGATATCTCCGGAACTAAACAAGATATTTTCAACTTTTTTTTATCGGCAGAAGAAACGTAAGCGGAGATTACTGCGTTAGTTTTATTAGTATAGAAAACCTAGTTTTTTTTGTAAAACTAGACAAAACTTTAATCTTT